AAGAGAAATGAATGTGCTCGATTTTAAATAATTATTTTCTCTCGGTTTTTACACAGGAAGACACTAATAATATTCCGGTAATTAATTTTTATAGTGGATCAGAAGAAGATAAATTATGTAACATCACAGTCACTAGTGAAATGGTTGTGAAGCAGATAGACCGACTGAAGCAAAATAAGTCACCGGGTCCTGATGAGGTTTTTTCAAGGGTTCTTAAGGAATGCAAAATGGAAGTCTGTGAACCATTAACTAATATTTTTAATTTATCTCTTCAAACAGGTGTAGTGTCTGATATGTGGAAGATGGCTAATGTAATTCCTATTTTTAAAACAGGGGACAAGTCGTTACCGTCAAATTACCGCCCAATAAACCTGACCTCAATTGTAGGCAAATTACTAGAGTCAATTATAGCTGAGATTATAAGAAGCCATCTCGATAAGCATAGCTTGATTAATGATACTCAGCATGGATTCACAAGAGGCCGATCTTGTCTAACTAATTTATTAACTTTCTTCAGTAAAGCTTTTGAGGCTGTTGACCACGATAAAGAATTTGATATTGTTTACTTAGATTTTGATAAATTAGACACATGTGCAACTCTTGGGTATCTTTATTGAGGAAACGTTTCGCCACACAGTGGCTTCATCAGTCCATACATAGGAGAAACTTGAAGAACAGGAGGAGAATGAGGTAATCATAAGGAGAAAGAGTTGCACATGTGTCTAATTTATCAACATGTCGGTTCTCTGAACCATTCATCTACAATACTTAGATTTTAGTAAGGCATTTGATAGAGTTCCGCACCAAAGACTGTTGAAGAAAGTAGCAGCTCATGGCATTGGGGGAAGGGTGCTCTCATGGATCGAGTCATGGCTCACAGACAGGAAGCAGAGAGTGTCCATAAATGGGGTTAAATCCGAGTGGGGATCAGTAACAAGTGGCGTTCCACAGGGATCAGTCTTGGGCCCGTTGTTGTTTATAATATATATCAATGATCTTGATGAAGGAATTACTAGTGATATGAGCAAATTCGCCGATGACACGAAGATAGGTAGGATAATTGATTCAAACGTAGATGTTAGGGAACTTCAGGAGGATTTAGACAAACTCTACTCTTGGTCAGAAAAGTGGCAGATGCAGTTCAATGTAGATAAATGCAAGGTTCTGAAGCTCGGGAGTGTCCATAACCCTAGCACTTACAAGTTAAATAATGTAGAACTTAGCCATACAGATTGCGAAAAGGACTTGGGGGTTATGGTAAGCAGCAACCTTAAACCTTAAACGTTTCATAATAAAGATACCTAACTGTTGCATGTGTGTCTTACCTAACAACCTGTCGGTATTTTATACCATTTTAATGTTCAATCTGTCAGACACTGCAACACAAGGGTATCTTGGTACAGACCTGCAATCAACTTCGACAACTTCCACTAGTGAGAGCGGCTGGATTTGAGAGGGACCTGACCTCTCAGCATCTGAGTTCTTACCTCTCCTAGTGGCCTACGTCTCACCTCTTGGCGCTATAAAAAGCTCCATCCTGTCACTTCATCTCCATATTGTTTCATACTATGGAACAATGCTCTTCTCCAGACTGAGGGACTGACCACCTCAAAACTTTAAGGGTGATGGACTGATTACATCGTCTTCAAGTATCTTCTGCTTCTATCAACTTTTCTGTACTTGACTGAAGAAGCCTACTGTGTAGGCGAAACGTTTCATAATAAAGATACCTAACTGTTGCATATGTGTCTTACCTAACAAGACAGCAATGCCTAAGCGTACGTAATAAGGCAAATAGATTACTGGGATTTATATCAAGAAGTGTAAGCAACAGAAGTCCAGAGGTCATACTGCAGCTTTATACATCATTAGTAAGGCCTCACCTAGATTATGCAGCTCAATTCTGGTCTCCATATTACAGAATGGACATAAATTCGTTAGAAAACATTCAGCGTAGGATGACTAAATTAATACATAGCATTAGAAATCTTCCTTATGAAGAAAGATTGAAGACGCTTAAGTTACATTCACTTGTTAGACGAAGAATGAGGGGAGACTTGATCGAAGTGTATAAGTGGAAGATAGGTATTAATAAAGGGGATATTAACAAGGTCTTGAGGATATCTCTCCAAGAGAGAACCCGCAGTAATGGATTTAAATTAGATAAGTTTAGATTTAGAAGGGACATGGGAAAGTATTGGTTTGGAAATAGGGTAGTTGATGAGTGGAACAGTCTACCTAGTTGGGTTATTGAGGCTAGGACTTTGGGTAGTTTCAAATTTGGGTTGGATAAGTACATGAGTGGGAGGGGTTGGATTTGAGAGGGACTTGCACATCGGAGCTTGTTTCTTGGGTGGCATTGAAAATTGGGTTGGTCAAATGCTTGTTAGTGGGATGAATTGTAAAGGACCTGCCTAGTATGGGCCAACAACTGCTGCAGTGTTCCTCCTTTCTTATGTTCTTATGTTCTTAAAAAACGACAAGTTGAGTGATTGTCGCAATTCAAAAACACTGCCAGGTTCTTTTTTCTTCATTTATTTTTTGATGAACACCGCTTCGGTGTCCAGTCCTTCTCTAGCTTTTTCCCAGATGTTTTAACCCAAGCTCTCAGCATCTTTTCTGGGTTATCTGGAAAAAACCAAGGATCTCTAACCTTTTTTTTCCCTTAAAATCAAGTTTTGTGTACCTCATATTCTGCCTCTGTGTCGAGTATGTTGAGATCTAGGACTTAGCTTTACAAATGTTCTCGGTAAAATGGGAAACGGGGTTTAAAAATATGTAGAGAATTCGTTCGGAAACCCCCGTGAAAGGAAAGACGGGGATCCAGGATTAATTTCCACCCGGTGAGGTGATTTTTCTGACTGGGTCAAAGATAGTCAGTAGTTTCAGTAAATAAAAGAAATTTTCCCCACTTTGGAGTCATCGCCCAGTTGAAGTGACCCCCTGTGTCCTTGCACAAGGAATTGAATGAGGATTTCCCGTCAGTATTGCGCCATTTGCTTTTATTTTTAATCTGTGATGAAGTTTCTGTTTTCAGCTAAAATTTTTTCCCATTTTCCCCACTGTGTGAAACACTCCCGTGTTCTTAAAATTTTCATAAAACAATGACCCTTTCAGGTTCTTTCTTTGGTTGAAACATTTTCTGCTAAATGAGGACTTGATCTGCCGGGAAAATAGAGGAACCCCAAAAAATGTGATTTTTTTGGGAAAGGGAAATAGCCCAGCCTGAATGAGTCATTCCTCACCACCACATTTCGAAATTTCCGCTTGGAAAACCAAGTTTTGTTCGTTGAGCGTTATTTGTTGGGAAAAGGGTCTCTCATGTTCGGGAAATATTAAAACCCAGTTTTATTATTTCTTTTCAACGCGTCAGGTTTTTCCCGTATCCTTGTTGAATTTCAGAAGCCCAATATTTGATGTTAAATCTTTGTAGAAGTTCGGGGTCCGACCCACCCAGTTCACTGTGTCAGGTAAACTTGTCCATAAAAATTCACCCATGCGATAGAGGTGGACTTGGGTGCTTTAAGAAGAGACTGGACAAATATATGAGTGGAGTGGTGGGTTTGAATTTGGGCATTGGGTACGGGGTTATTTTTGGGTGTTTGGTAGGGTCGTTTTTTGAGGACCGTCGCAGGGCCAGTAGGCCTTCTGCATGTTCCAATTCTTTGTTCTTTAATACAAGACAGATCATACACTGAAAAAAAATTCTTTGTTTTTCCTATCCAGGAGTCTTATCTGACTTTAAAAGAAAATGTCATTTGGGGCCCCCCTTCAAAATGGCACCCCGGACGTGCCTACTTGCCATACCTTAAGTACGCCCTTGGCCCGTTCTTCCAATTTATCTTGGTTAGCCTACATTTCGTGGGTCTTTTTTTACTAACTGAGCCGAGTGGTTTTCATGTGCCAGGCTGGTTGTGGGAGGATAGTGTAAGTATTTTTAGGATATGATATGATTATAATACAAAATGTAGTTGTAGTTAGATACGCTATCAATTTTCTTCCCCTCCCCTTTACTTTTTTGTTTCCTAAATATAAATTTGGGGTTCCCCCCCCCCCCTTCGCTGTGTGATGATGGAAATTAGACATAATTCCCCAATCCCCCCGGGGTATGAATTTTGAGGCCGTCCTGAGAGACGGAGTCCCAAGTATAGTAACGCAGCTCTGCTGGAAGGAAACCTTGGAAGCTGCCCTGGCTGATGAATTGTTAATGGGATATTTGATATCATTGCCCTGATGAAGTTTCGCAGCTGAGGCTGACACAATTTCAAAACAACGCATGCGCCCTATATTGCGTGGTGGAATGTGAGAGGGAAAGCTCGTTATCTTTGGTTCCCACTGTGTAACTATCGTATAGAATAGGGTAGCAGCACCTGTGATGTAACCGTTTTTTTTAAAAATTTTAAAATCCCTCGTCTTATTTTACCACTTCTAGCCTCTCACTGCAATAACAGTTGCAACCTATTTCTAAGCAAGATGCATCGGTGTTCAAAGTTTGAAGCCCTCAGAAAATTCTTTTTAAATCGGGGAAGGAATCCCAGATGCCAAAAGTTGAAAAAACCTTTCGTAGTTTGTACACCATCTTTGAAAAATTTTAAAACCATGGAAAGAGGCGTTTTTTTTAAAATTTTTTCTTTTTTTCATTTCCCTTTTTAAATCTACCTCTTATCTCTCACCTACTTTCTTTTTTTCCAGCCTCTTAGTATATATTTTTTATCCTCCCGTTTTAGCCCTAAAGACTGAGCGTGTGGATATTTCGCTGGGTGGACCAGGCGCCAGGTGTCAGAAAACATCATATTGGTAAGTAATGAATTGTGAAGGGGGAGAGTTTCACAGTAATTAGACCTGGGATGGTGGGGGTCTAGTTAGACTCGATTTCGAGTGTGATTACGCACAACACTCACCCTCGTCTCAGTCCTCTTTCTCTCCAACTTTTACTCCTCCTCTCATTTTCAAATTCCCTCCTCCATTCACTCTCTCTTTTGCTTGACCTGTGTCAACAGGAGCCTTCTTGATCACGTTTTTCCCCGTGATGCGGGACCTTCCTGGACTGCCATTTCTACCTGGAATTGGCAGTAGGTCAGCGGATCCGCAAGGGAGCGCTGGGTGCCTGGCACCAAGTCTCCCCTAGCCTAGGTGGTGTTGGCATCGCTTCCGCTGTCGTCTCCTTCGCTGTCGCTCTCTACTACAACACCGTCATCGCCTGGTGCCTCTACTACCTCTTTCAGGTAACCTCATAGTCTGGTGCCTCTACTGCCTCTTTCAGGTAACCTCATAGCCCGGTGCCTCTATTACCTCGTCCAGGTAAGTTCATAGCCTGGTGCCTCTACTGCCTCGTCCAGATAAGTTCATTACCTGGTGCATCTAGTGCCTCGTCCAGGTAAGTTCATAGCCTGGTGCCTCTACTGCCTCGTCCAGGTAAGTTCATAGCCTGGTGCCTCTACTGCCTCGTCCAGGTAAGTTCATTACCTGGTGCATCTACTGCCTCGTCCAGGTAAGTTCATAGCCTGGTGCCTCTCCTGCCTCGTCCAGGTAAGTTCATAGCCTGGTGCCTCTCCTGCCTCGTCCAGGTAAGTTCATTACCTGGTGCATCTACTGCCTCGTCCAGGTAAGTTCATTACCTGGTGCATCTACTGCCTCGTCCAGGTAAGTTCATAGCCTGGTGCCTCTCCTGCCTCGTCCAGGTAAGTTCATTACCTGGTGCCTCTACTGCCTCGTCCAGGTAAGTTCATAGCCTGGTGCCTCTCCTGCCTCGTCCAGGTAAGTTCATAGCCTGGTGCCTCTCCTGCCTCGTCCAGGTAAGTTCATAGCCTGGTGCCTCTCCTGCCTCGTCCAGGTAAGTTCATAGCCTGGTGTGAAGGCTTACTCAGCCCTGTAAGATCTTAAGTAGGTTTTACCAAGGCTCGCTCCTCCTTAGGAAAATTAATGAATAGAAAAAGAATAATAACATACAAATATAAACACTTTATTGTTATAATTGAAAATATAAAACATTTAAATATGAACTTTTATCCTACGTGAAAGAGAAATGAAAAATGAAATATAAAAATATTTGAATTCAACGCTAATATGTACAGTTAGACTGGGGTGTCTGGTTGATGTTAACACCGCGCCTTGTAGAAATTGTAGCCGTTGCTGATGATGGGGGGGGGCGGTCACAGCTGTTGAGTGACAACCCAAAGACTAGTTCGTCACAGTGTCTCTAGCCTTGAACAATCCGTCAAGATGGTAGGAACGCAGGTCCTTCACCACTGCAAAGATGGGTGGTAGTTGCCTGGGGTTGGCTACACTCAGGTATGTAGATAAAAAGTGACGTCCCAGAACTCATGTGAAGTTTGTCTCCTTCAGCACTGTTTCTGTGGTTGCCAGATGACCCAAGCTGACATTCCAAGATAGAAAGAGATGAAAGTTAACTACTGCTTGAAAAATCACTCTCCATGATAAGTAAAGTATTTAAAAGACTGGTGAGGATTTAAAAGCATGTTATACATGAAAGTCAAGGCATTATGAATTAAGTTTTCACAGTTAAAAATGAAGCTTTTAACCAATATATCCATTAAAAGCAGGAGCAGAGGCTTTTACTTACAGTTGTGCTGGGAGCTGTGAGTCATGTGATTATCCATTTGGTCGAAGCCCCACACGTCACCTTTCCGGGTGGAGAATAGGGGGGGGGAGGATAGCGGAAGCTAGACACTGACCCTACCTTAACAAGCAGACTGGCAATCAAACTATCACCATATACTCGCCCGCTACTCCTATCTGTTGAACTTTTCCATCACGCCTGGTGCCTTTACTGCCTCGTCCAGGTAAGTTCATAGCCTAATGCCTCTACTGCCTCGTCCAGGTATACTCTAGTCAGGTCTCTCAGTGTTTCTCTCAGCCGAATAACTCAGGCGTTTATGAATTATATAACGGAGAACTTGATCATACCGGATGTGAAAAGCACTTACGAGCCTTGTTAGGTAAACTCTAAAACAGGACAACCGTGTATAATGTCCGTAATAAGGACATTAAACTGCTTGGTGTCCATTGTGGCTCATACGTGTCAGAAAACCATGTCTTGGTAACCAGGACATTTTATTATGGAAACATTCTGGACTTTCTTTTGTTTTCTACATGCGCTTAATATGGTGGTGGTTCCATGCTGGTGCCGCATACTCAAAGATGGGTACAATGTTGTTTGTGTATATAAACAAGTATCAGTTCACGAGTGTTAAACTCCAGAAATAGTGCCTGAGAAGGAATTATCAGTAAATTTAAACTTCAACAATCAAAGAACGGCAGCGCAAGAGCATATGGTTACACAAAAGGCCTAGAAACTAGGCCAGATCTACTCCTATAACCCCGAAGAGGTTATAGGAACCCAACATGAAGTTAAGACAAAATGATCATGATTGTCATAGTTACTAAACCCACAATAATAATGAAGGCGGAAGAAAACCCTAATTCTGATGTAGTCTAAGTAAGTTTTGCGAAGGTATTTGACAAGTGTGATCAGTGAGTGACAACACAGGAAATGAGGTACATAGGTTTAACGGGAAAAGTAGGCAGATGGATGTTAATTTTTCTGACGAACAGAAAACAAAGATATAAGCAGATTCCAACTGCTTAGATATGAAAAGAATGAAGAACTCAAAAGGAACTATGTATACATAACGAAGGAGAACCACCAAGTAGAACTATACGAACATTTGAAGGATCTGGGAGTGACAATGTCAGCTTACCTGTCTTTTAAAGAATACAGTAAGGCAAATGTCACGAAAACCAGGAAAATAATGGGGTGAAAAGTGAAAAATTTAAAAAAAAAAAAAATAAAAAAATAAAATAATGTCAACGGTGACATTCAAATCCACTAAGTTCTTTCACTCAAAGCGTTGATGGTATATTCAAGGTAGAGATATATCTCTGCTGAAACAGATACATAAATCGTTTACGGACCACATAGAACCAGTGAAATATTTAATTACTGGGAAAGCCTCAAAGCTCTGAATGTGTACTCTCTGGAACAGAGAAGATACATGATATTATGCACATTGAAGGTACTTGACGACAGAATCACAAACATACACACTACCATGACAATATACTGGAGTGAGGGATGTGGGAGGAAGTGTAAAATAAACCCAGTGAAAAGCAGGGCGCGCATGGGCACAATATGAGAACACTGTATCACCGTCCGTGGGCATAGATTATCCAACATTCTACCAGAAGACGTATACATTGCTTGGACAATTGTAAAAGTGCCAGATCAACCAGGCTGTCATGGATATGAAGGCCAGAGGGCTGCCAATAACAAAAGACTGGTTGACCAGGTAAACAACAGACAAACGTGGCCGTAGGGTAGGCTGAGAAAATAGAAAAACTCTCGAAACTGTTCTCGGGTATATCATAGGTTTTCGAGGGAGTCCATCCAGGTGCATAGAGTCTGATGGGAGTCTCCTGGGATGTCTCTCCTCCTTGAATAGATAAGTGAATATTATAATGTTACTGGAGGTGGCAGGTCATTGTCTGGTCTGGTTGTGAGGTGTATTTAGCCTGGCATGAGCTCGTATTGGAAAATACAATTAGTGTTGATAAGTTAGTGGAGGAGAAGTAAACGGATTTCCTGGGTGTGATTATGGAGAGTGCAATCACTGGAAGGGTTCAGCCCCAGGTATAGTGGTATCTGGGAGCAGGGAATAGCGTAAGCAAGAAATGGGAATAGAAGTAGAGAAGGTAATGGGGTGGAGAGGGAAATAGGTGTGGAGACGGGGTGCATTTGTTATTTGTCACTGTCTGTCGTCTTCCTGCAGGTCTGTCCACCCTGGTTGACGAATGTCTCTTGCGTCATTTGCTGTGTCGTTGTAATTACATATTTGAGTTTGTGGGGAGCACGTGATTAGACAGTGATGGAAGCTGTAGCTCGTGGGTACACGTATATTAGACAGTGATGGAAGCTGTAGCTCGTGTGTACACGTATATTAGACAGTGATAGAAGCTGTAGCTCGTGTGTACACGTATATTAGACAGTGATGGAAGCTGTAGCTCGTGTGTACACGTATATTAGACAGTGATGGAAGCTGTAGCTCGTGTGTACACGTATATTAGACAGTGATGGAAGCTGTAGCTCGTGTGTACACGTATATTAGACAGTGATGGAAGCTGTAGCTCGTGTGTACACGTATATTAGACAGTGATGGAAGCTGTAGCTCGTGTGTACACGTATATTAGACAGTGATGGAAGCTGATGGAAGCTGGTGTGTACATTACCTTCTGCTGGGTTACTGTCAACATCTTTCCTCAACATTACTGTTATTCAAGAGAAAAATACATATTCCCTAAAGTCATTAACTTGATTATCTTCAAATGATCCATCCGTCTTCCCTGTTCTACATGTTCACTACATGTTCACTACATGTTCACTCTCTTAAGTCTCTTCTCTAACTTGTATATTGTATTTTTTGTGCTTATATATGTGAATATCTATATTACTATAAATTTGTAACTTCGAGAAAAGAATTCTATAAAAACATTGCACCGATAATAAGAACATTGCACCGATAATAAGAACATTGCACCGATAATAAGAACACTGCACCGATAATAAGAACATTGCACCGATAATAAGAACACTGCACCGATAATAAGAACATTGCACCGATAATAAGATCATTATACCCAGCAGATATCCCCCGTAAAAGCTAGTCATACACTTTTTTTTGTCTTTTCTATGCATTTTTCCATGTTATTCCCATGGACCAATGTACTGGTTTTAGTAAATCTGTCTTATGGTGGGTCATGGTGACACTGGCGTCTCACTTGTGATGATGATGATGATGACACGTGGGTCATGGTGACACTGGCGTCTCACTTGTGATGATGATGATGATGACACGTGGGTCATGGTGACACTGGCGTCTCACTTGTGATGATGATGATGATGACACGTGGGTCATGGTGACACTGGCGTCTCACTTGTGATGATGATGATGATGACACGTGGGTCATGGTGACACTGGCGTCTCACTTGTGATGATGATGATGATGACACATACATAACCCGATATGAAACGCTATAATCAACAATGAAACTTATGAATACTAGTAAAAGAAATTTTATCCATTTCTCCGAGGCTGTGTGGCGCACAATTTACACCAGAGGTGGAACCATATATATATATATATATATATTATATATATATATATATATATATATATATATATCGTGCCGAAAAGGCAGAACTTTCCATCTTGGCTTAAATAGCAACGCTCATCTTGCCATATAGGACAAGTGAAAATTTGTGTATGCAATAATTTCGCCAAAATCATTCTGAACCTAACGAAAAAAATATATTTCACTGTGTTTGTTTAGTATTAAATTATTGTAAACAAATCTAAAATATATAAAGTTGGGTTAGGCTAAAATAAATTGCTCTTGTCATAATAAGGTTAGGTAAGTTTTCTAAGATTCTTTTGGTGCAAAATTAAAAATTTTTACATTAACATTAATGAAAAAAATATATCTTTAAATGTATAAGAAAAAATTTCAGAGAGGACTAATTTTAAATGAGTTCTTGCTAAATGACCAGTTTTACATATTCGGCACGACATTATATATATATATATTATATATATATATTATATATATATATATATATATATATATTATATATATATATATATATATACTAAGCAAATATCGCAAACCAAGTGATGCAATACAACCACGGATATGGCTCTTGATACATTTTTACCAAGACTTAACACTTTAGTCCCGTCTATTAAATTCACCGTGGAGAAAGAGGTGGACTGTGAACTTCCATTCTTAGATGTGTTGATACACCGGGTTGACAAAGTCTAAGTTTACAGTATAAAGGAAAGCCACCAATGTGTGCTCATACATTCACTATTATTCCAACCATGAGACGAGTGTTAAAAGGAGTGTATTTCTTACTATGGTTCTGAGAGCTTATAGAGTGTACAGTCCAGAGTTCCTAGATGAAGAAATTAGGAAAATATTTAACATTGGCACTAAACAGCGATATCCTAAGATGTTTATAGAATCTGCCTTGCTGGCAGCTAAGAAAACCTATTATAGGACAGAACCTAGGATAACACCTCAGATAAAGAATGTGCTGGTCCTCCCATATAACCAGAATTTATCTATCCTACCGAATGCTCTTAGAAGATTTAATATACAAGTAGTTTTTAAAAATTCACGGACTGTTAGAAACATCCTGATAAAGAATACACCATAACAACGTGTTGATGATGTCTCTACAGTGTTGGTTGCAACGGTTTCAGTCTCTCCTATTTGGGACAAACTGAAAAATCATGGAGGTGAGAATGTTCCAGCACCGTTATTCGATACGTATAGCACAGGAGTCGAACGTGATTTCAACCATTGGCTGGAAGGTTGAACCAAAGTTTGTCTCAGAATTTTGTGAATTGAATATCTGTGGACGTCTTTCTTGTTATTGCAGATGTCTCCCCCTTAATAAGTTTATTTTAATGAGCCACGTTTCCTTTACATAACTTTCAGAAATCTCCCCTATATATGGTACCGTTTTCTCTTGTAATTTAAATGGACACGTTGTCCCATGGAGGATATAATTGTCAGTGTCTTATATATCACTGACAATATATTTATATATATAAATATATAAATATATATTTATATATTCATACATTTAATTTTTTTATTATTGCCAGGTTAATCTCGTTTAGGCTATTACAGTATCAATGCTTGTGAGATATTTTCTAATGCTATGATATTCCTCTTTCTGGTACCGGAAGTGCCCTCAGGCACTTCCGGTACCCTCTCCAGTAAAGGCGGTCCTCTGGGAATGCTATTAGCTTGGATACCCTCCTCTTTTCTGCAGTTTTGCAAGCTCCTGATGATGTGTTGATTGCAACACGAAAGGCCTAGAGCTATCATTACACTTACCCCTGGTTGTTTTTGCATAATATATATATATATATATATATATATATATATATATATATATATATATATATATATATATATATATATATATATAATATATATATATATAGTTAGATATATCAGTAGGCATCAGGTGGTGGGTTTTGATTGATAAAGCATTTTAAGCAAAACTGAGGATAACATCTCGTCAGGTTGTGTTGTTCTTGTGGCAAAGACAAATATTCTTCAGATCTTTGTAAGTTTTACCTAACAATGGAGGCCTTCATTTGAACTTTATTTTCTATTTTATTTCCAGTATTGAAATATTCTCTGTTAGGCCTAACATTTTTGTAAATACACTTTAAAGCATTATTAATTGTCTCGCAATTTTCTTCTCGTTAATTTGCTTTTCATACTCTTAAATAGAAAATTTGTCTCTATCATGCTTTTTTTAGTATTCTACCCCACAATTTCACTCCACATTCCTTTCTATATAGTTTGAATCTCTGGTAAATATCTGTACTTGTGACGCTCTGTGTTTGGGTTCCAGGTTTTCCTACCTTTTCCTGTATTCTTGGTTTATTCTGTTTCTCACTTTCGCAATAAACTATTTAATATTATCGTCATGTTTCCTGAGTACTTCGCATATTTGGTTTATATCAACGCTGTTATTTTATTCTATTTAATTTTTCTAAATTATAGTTTTAGATCGGCATAGTTTATTCTTTCCTATTTAAGTCTATATTATTTAAGTTTAGTTTTTATTGTGGAAGATATTCTTTGCTAGACGTGTTTGTTAGATTAGTGTGGTGAAGTTAGGAAGGTGTGATGACCGCCTATCCAACTCACACCTACACCCACCCAGCTCTCACACATAATGAGCTAATGCCGATCTCATTCCGATCTAATAGCTAGGACTGAGTATACTACAAACTCTAATCACACAATAGAGAGGAAAAGTAGTGAAGGACTTGGATGTGGTAATGTCTGAGAACCTCACCTTCAAGGACCACAACAATGCCACTATCACATCTGCGAGGAAACTGACAGGATGGGTAATGAGAACATGAGAACATTCAGGACAAGAGATGCTAAGCCAATGATGATCCTTTTTAAATCACTTCTCTCTAGGCTGGAATACTGCTGTACATTAACGTCCCCATTCAGGGCAGGTGAAATTGCAGATCTTGAGAATGTACAGAGAACCTTTACTGCATGTATAAGTTCCATCAAACGCCTTATCTACTGGGAGCGCCTGGAAGCACTTGACTTGTACTCACTAGAGCGCAGGCGAGAGATAGATATCATAATCTACACCTGGAAGATTCTGGAGGGACTGGTCCCCAATATGCACACAAAAATCACTCCCTACGAAAGCAAAAGGCTTGGCAGGTGATGCAATACCCTCAGTGAAAAGTAGGGGAGCCACTGGTACACTAAGAGAAAACACAATAAGTGTCCAGGGCCTAAGACTGTTCAACAGCCTCCCACCAGCAATAAGGGGGCATTACCAATAGACCCTTGATTGTCTTCAAGAGGGAGCTGGACAGATACCTAAAGTCAGTGCGGGATCAGCCGGACTACGTGCGGCCAGCAGTAACAGCCTCGTTGATCAGGCCCTGATCCACTGGGAGGCCTGGTTGTGGACCGGGCCGCGGGGGCGTTGATCCCCGGAATGCCCTCCAGGTAGACTCCAGGTAGACCCACATCAACACAACTCCCAGCCACACACGCCCAACTCCCCCTCACACATACTCAGCTAAACTGATGAACCTTTATTAGAATACGTGACGATATCCTAATTGCCCTACTGAAACCTCTCAAACTGGCAAACTAACCAACCTGGCAAACTTTGACAACACAATGTATGATACACATCCTGCATGATGGAAATATGACTGGGAAACACAGCTAACTTTCATTCTTATGTAATTGCCACATAGTATAGGATAGAATCACATCTCTACTGCATCTGCAAACAAGATCTTCTGTACACGACTGGCGAAACCTACTGTGTAGGTCAAATTTTTCGGAATAAAGATACCTAACTGTTCCATGTGTGTCTTACTTATCAACCTGTCGGTATTGTATACCTTTTCAGATTCATGTAATCACATGGCTGACGTATCCAGTTTTGCTACCATTAAAAACACTAAACTTTCCCTCACAACCACCTAACCTTGACTGTTACCACCTCTACAGAGCTTCCAGTCACCGCTGCCGTGGTCAGACTGCCCCCAGGCCATTGGGGTGATCGAGGGTAACAACACCAGTCTGATCCATGAGTGTGAGAGAGCGGGACCCACCCAGTATTTCTGGTACCGCGACACACTGGCCATCACAGACGACCTCTCGCAGATCGGAGACTTCAACTGGAAGATCGCTGGCTGCATGGCCGTCGCTTGGCTCCTCATCTACATTTGCATCATGAAGGGTATCGTCGCTTCTGGCAAGGTGAGTTATGCACATATTCACGCAATGTTTCAGGCACCGGATGGCTTGTACGCACATGTGAGCGTCTGCTATTTCAGACATTGACTGACTTTCAGTATATTCACATGTGTTTCAGGCTACTGACTGACTCCTGTGTTTTTTCAGACTAGGAAAAGGCTTGTTCCTCTGTTGTTTCAGACAAAGGGGTAGTTTGTTCCTCTGTTGTTTTAGATAACGGGGAAGCTTGTTCCTTTGTTGTTCTAAACAACTTAAAAGCTTGTTTCTCTGCCGTTTCAGACAACTGGGTTACTTATACGCACATTTGAGCAGAACTTGCTCTGGGCTCGGTGATAGGTTAATTCAATTTGACCTCATAACTTGTCAAAAGATTGACAGCTAAGAACTCTCTGCCTCCGTAAAATCATGCTTATTCAGATTCTCCCTGTATATCTGGCACATATACTTAATAAAGCAGAGGTTGCAAAAAACCATGACATTTATAAATTGTAGCGATGTACAAAGAGGGGAGACTTGTTTTCCTGTACTCAAGCACTCTTTTACAGGACCACTTATTATAAATAGCATTTTTAAATGTTGATCAGTGTTTACAGTGTATTAAGTTGACTGGCTGTGGCGGGACGCCTCACTGTGGGTCGTACTGAACATCACTTTGTAAATATTCTGATGAATATATATATCTAGATGTGCATGCACTACCTCCCTGGAGCTGTTTCAGAGGTCAACGTCCCCTCGGTCCCGTCCACGACCAGGCCTCGCGATGGATCAGAGCCAGATTAACAAGGCTGTTACTGCCTGCCGCTCGCAATCCATTGTACAAACCAAAGTCCGGTTGGTCAAGTACTGACTTTAGGTATCTGTCCAGCTCCCTCTTAAAGACAGACAGAGGTCTATTGGTAACTCCCCTTATGTACGATGGGAAGTATTTCAACAGTCTTGGGCCCCTGACATTTATTATATTATCTCTCAGTGTACTCAGTGCACCTCTTCTTTTAATTGCGGGCATGTTGCGCTGCCTGCAGAGTCTTTTGCTTTCATAGGGAGTGATTGCCGTGTGCAGATCTGGGACTCCCTCTAGGAGATTCCAAGGAGTGTATACGTGCAGTGGTATTTCTCTGTATATTCTTCAGGTCTGCAATTTCGCCTGCCTTGAAAAGGGCTGTTAGTGTACAGCAGTATTCCAGTCTAGAGAGAACAAATGATTTAAAGAGAATCATCATTAGCTTGGCATCCCTTGTTTTGAAGGTTCTCATTATCCATCCTATCATTTCCTAGATGTGATAGTGATATTGTGATCTTTGAAAGTGAAATTCTTTGACTTTATCATTCCCAAGTAATTCATATTAGTTTTCCGCTCTGTTGGGTGATTAGAATTTGTTTTATATTCCAATCTAGCTGATTACGAACACAGGTGTAGTCTGGTGGCCTGTGCACCTGTTTGTAACTGAACACGATAACCAAATGCCAATGTAGGAACGAGCAAAAAACAGCAAAGAGTAAATAATTAATATATTTTCCTTCACCAAGTGAGTGCAATTACGTACAATATTTATAGAGAATATATACATTAAGTCAATTTGCAAGACACACAGTGAGAACCATGGGCGACCAGATTTTGGAGGTGTCTGTCAACGCTGCTCCTTGAGTCCCAGATGTAATGTTGCTTCACAGAACTTGTGGGTTTTCTCGTGATTGGCTGTGTTGAGCCAGCAGTCTAACATGACACTGGAGCCCTTCCTGTTATATACTCTTAACTGATGGTTCGCTGGTTGGGAAGGTATATGGGTGTGACATACGTCGAATAAATGTAATTTAATCTTCGCATGTCACATAGCTTTTATTTCCGTAAGTTTTCTATAGCGTAGTAATTTATATTTATCTTCACTGAACTTCATATTGCTTTCTGTGGCCCATTTGAAGACTTAGTTTATATCTGCTTGGAAATTTGCATTGTCCTCAATGCATGACACTCCTTCAGATTCTTGTATCGTCAGCAAAGGAAGACAGTTAATGGTTTACACGTCTGTTTATCAGATATATACATGTCCTGGCGAATAGGTAAAACTGGTCAGTTAGCAAAACCACATTTAGAGTCCTTTCTAAAATCTTCTCTTATACGTTTAAAGATATATTTTTTTCATTTATGTTATTGTAAAAAATTAATAGTTTCGTGCCAAAAGAACCTTAGAAAATTTAAACTTATTATAACAAACGCAATTTAAATTAGCCTAATTCAACTAAATATATTTTAGATAAGTTTACTATCATTTAATAATAAACACAATGAAATATATTTTTTTTTCGTTAGGTTCAGAATGATTTGGTCAAGCGATTCTGCTTTTGACTCTCGCCTCGGCAGGTCATAGCAGCTCTCCTTATTCAGTCTCCCTACGATCCCCGTTGGGGAGGGGAACCTTTACCATCATCTTCAGCCTTGACTTGCACCACGATGAGCTATACAAATCGTGTCAATACCAAGCCCAACAGTGGTACTGTTGATGATTCAACGAAGCTTGCTCTTGCAACCGTCGTTCAGGGCGGATTAAGAGTGAAATTCAACGCTATTCTGTCACACTTGTCGTGTGTCACGATGAAGCTGAAACTGAGAACATGTTCACTCCTGAGACCACCACTACTCTTACTGCTCAAGGATTTACTGTTGTCCTCTCCTGCTCTCATGACAAGGAGATCATTATTCCTGAAAAAAACTAGACAAGATTCTCACTACGGTACCAATTGCTGAACTCAAGTCATCTATTGAAACTCAAAATACATGGGCCACCGTTGACAGCATCACAAAAATCCCAAATGCATCATCCATGCTCAAGGTCACCTTCACTGATGTGAACATGGCTGCCACTGCTCTGAGCGAAGGTCTTGCTGTGTACTATTACTTCATCAGCCCCACCTACATCGAAGCTGAAAGGTTTCACTACATCCAACACTGCTGGAACTGTTATTCTTATCTGCACAGCACCAAGACCTGTCCAGTTAAAGACAAGAAGTTCTGCACAACATGTGGTAGTGAAGGCCACACTTTCAGTTCCTGTACTGCCTCTGCTCCATCTCCACCAACTTGTTTAAACTGCAAAAACAACGATCACCACACTTTTGCAGCAAAATGTCTCACTAGAAAGGACATTATGAAGAAGACTCAAGATGCAACACATAAAAAATCATCTTCCAAGTCACCAACCTATGCCGCAATTGCAAAGTTGCAGGCAGATACTACAAAACTCCTTCAAGCTTCCACTCAACCCGCTTCCACCACCACCGTCACTCCTCCAGCATGTGACCTAACAAAAATCCACTACTGTCTGCTATATGCTCATATGCAGAACATGGCAGTACCTGGCTCCTTCAACACCACCATCAACGAGCTATTTGCCTTGAACAACATGCCATCGTTTGTATTTCCAGCTTCTCCACCTTCGGCTGATATTCTCAAATTCACGAAAGACTTAGTCGCCACCTCTGCTTCTTCAGTAACTCCTCCATCGCTACCAAATAGTGACGTCACTCCAACAACAACCAATGAGAAGCCTCTACCACCATCACTCCCCATGGAAACCCACCAATCAGAGACCTTGCCACCAGCAACATCTTCCTCCTCATCTACTGAAGCCAACATCGAATCTTCACCTCCACCTTCATCACCGCATGCCAAGAGGGCTAAACCCGTGCCAACAACACCAACTTGTGACTCTCGACTTGATACAATTCATGCTGATGATGCCGATTCTTTTTATCCATGGAATCGAATCACCTTCTACACCACAACTCATTATGCTCAAGATATGCTGTTATCTGAACTACACACTCACCTTACCAACAAGACTGTCAAGTTTACCACTGATCTCTCTTTCAAAGGTGCTGGTATAATTATACTATCATCTGTCCTACAGCATATTCAAAATAACTCTGAGATTCCCGGCAATCAACACCTGTTAACACGTCTCCTGATCATCCCGGTCTAACGATTTAAACGTCTTGTAAATGGATCTGAAATCAACAAGCTTGAAGTTATGGTTAAACAACAACATAACTCGAAGTAACCACCAAACTCCATGAACTGACCAATCAACGATGAGCTCCTCCCTTGTCGCCTACAGCCGCATGTCACCAGCAAGTCTCAGTTTCTTCCATCAAGCAAGATGTAGTCAGCTTCTGCAGAGTTCCTGTGCCTTCTACATCGTCTTCGTCATTATTATTATAATCACGGGGGAAGCGCTAAACCGGAGGATTATACAGCGTCGTCTTCGTCAGTTTTGTTTCTCCAGGCTTAGCAGTTGGGTCTAGTCCTGACTCTTCTCTCTTCGACTCAAGACATTCTTCTCACCGTCCCCTCAAGGTTCCTTGATGTTGGTGAGGGGCTCTTGATTTAGGGAATTGGATCTGTGCTCCAGTTCCCCGAATTAAGCCTGAATGCCTTCCACATCCCCCCCCAGGCGCTGTATAATCCTCCGGGTTTAGCGCTTCCCCCTTGATTATAATAATAACAATCCTCTCACCGTCTATTCTTCGCCCTGTCCCCACTCGCCCCTCGCGGGTCCTTACCTGAAAGTCGTGTTGTTCTTGTAGAATGATTTTTTGAGATTTTGCATTACAGAATTTCCGCTTTTTCTGTATTGATTTTTTGTTTGGTAAATCGCAATTATACCTATTCGGCACTACATCATATATATATATATATATATATATAATATATATATATATATATATATATATATATATATATATATATAATAGACTTCGGTTCACTACCAATCGGTGGTGAGCAGGTGACATGCAGCTTTAATGACTCGTGTGTTGATAAGCTTTAAAGTTCAATTAACCAACTTGGGTGAAAGGACTGACAATTTCCTGCTTCACGAAGCTTCTTAACTAAGAACATCTTTGTTCCAACCGGAACATCATAACGACCCATCATGCACATCAATGGCTCACCTGCCTAGACAAGAAATAAAATCAGTCAAAATTTTAACTTCCCTCAGACATATGAA